CTTTGCAGTACAGCACAGGAAGTTAGGGAGACTCACACTATTATCTAAATGAGTGATAACATTGTCTTTTATGCTGTGTGGTGAATACAGTGCTAGAACATATGGAAATCCTGCAGTATTTGTAAAAAGTAACAGAAGAAGTAAACAAAATATGTTTCTGAGTGAGCTCAAGGGGTTCCCAACATTTGCTCAAAATTCAGCCCGAAGTGTCAGCTTGGTAATACTTCAACTCAGCCTTGTAGGTATACTGCAGTGATCTTCAGTTAATATAAACACTGCATAGGTGTTATTACTGCACAGACAATTGTTTTTGTTTGTTTGTAAGGTAAAGGTAAAGGTACCCCTGCCCATACGGGCCAGTCTTGACAGACTCTAGGGTTGTGCGCCCATCTCACTCTATAGGCCGGGGGCCAGCGCTGTCCGCAGACACTTCCGGGTCACGTGGCCAGCGTGACAAGCTGCATCTGGCGAGCCAGCGCAGCACACGGAACGCCGTTTACCTTCCCGCTAGTAAGCGGTCCCTATTTATCTACTTGCACCCGGGGGTGCTTTCGAACTGCTAGGTTGGCAGGCGCTGGGACCGAGCAACGGGAGCGCACCCCGCCGCGGGGATTCGAACCGCTGACCTTTCGATCGCAAGTCCTAGGCGCTGAGGCTTTAACCCACAGCGCCACCCGCGTCCCTTTGTTTGTTTGTATGGGATCTCAATTTTTTGTTTGAAAAGGGCTCTGTATTTATATGAGTACTGTACATGAAACCCTTGTCAGAGCAAAACAACAGGATCGTTTCAGGTTTTGTTTCTACGACTACTTTCTCAAGAGTGCCTCTTTTGTGGTTTGGGGTCATCCACTTAGGTTGTTTTATTTATTTATTTCCTGGGACATGTCTTAAGGTACTTTTATATACCATCCTCCACTGCTTGTAATGGAGAAACAAAATGAATAGAACATAGTATGTTATTTATTCATACTCTACCAAAAGAAGCCTAATACCATGTTCATTAGAAAATGTTCTCTATGAATAGGCTTGCCATATTCCCCAAAGTGAAAATCTGGACAAAGTTGTTGAGCTTTTATTTTTTTAGGAACATCTCACAAAAAATTAAATTTTGGGGCTTTTGGGAGATTTCTTAATTGCCCTATTTGTCATACGTCCGGGTTTTCCGCCTGGACGCCATTTTTCAGCTTGATTCCCAGGTGTGTCTGGGGAAACCTGGAGGATGTATGGCAGCCTTATCTATATCTGCCTGAGGCAAAGGACAGCAAGGCAACTAGGCTAGCAGTTGACTTTTACTTCAACTGGCGATTGGACAGAGTGCTCCACCATGACCGAAGAAACCAGTCTAGCTTAGTGGGTCTGGTGGTACACACAGTTCCTTTCTGCTAACATCCTGGTGTGGTTCCCTGCTCCCTAGTATTTGCTGCCTGAAGCTGCTGCACTCTGTTTAACAGTAGGGCTGGCGCTGTTAATTTCCTCATTAAGTACAGTGATACCTCGGTTTACAGACGCTTCAGGTTACAGACTCTTCAGGTTACCAGCTAACCCAGAAATAGTACCTTGGGTTAAGAACTTTGCTTTGCTTCAGGATGAGAACAGAAATTGCTCGCTGGTGGCGCGGCGGCAGCAGGATGCCCCATTAGCTAAAGTGGTACCTCAGGTTAAACAGTTTCAGGTTAAGAACGGACCTCCAGAACGAATTAAATTCTTAACCTGAGGTACCACTGTAAATGGATATAGGGTAGAAGATTGAAAAAGAGCAAACAGGAGAACTTTCCTTAAATACTAATTGTCAAAAATCCATTGAACCTCTTGCATTACTTTCTCTTTAGTAATGGCAAATGCAATCATAAATGAAGGGGAAATGTTCTTTTTAAAATCACCTTCTGGATTATCTCATATATCTCAGAGTACTGGTGCTTATGTAGTCAAAATGGAACAATCCATGTTCAAGTACACTATATGCCACAATGTGTAACATTTTTTTCAGTTTAGTTGCTATCAGCAACTGTTTTGACCCCTTCTGGTGTCCTCTGCCAGATGGCACAGTATAGCATACTTCTTCAACATAGTGCAGACTTAAAGCATAAATTCAGAAATCAGCAATCAACTTCCTTGTAGTTGTTAGTCTTTGAATAAAAAACTGAGTGGGCTATCAAAAACATATATTTTCTGGATTTGGGCTGGGAAGGCATTCATTGTTTTAAATTATGAGACTATTTTTGGTTTGGTTCTTAAAAAGCCCTTTACCACCTAGGACTCCCCTAGTGCCACAGCCTTAGCACTATGAATTTTAGAATGAAACACCCCCAACATTGTATGGAATTGTCTAACAAAATCCACTCAAGCTCTTTCTCCAAAGCAGTAGGAAGCTGATTCTCGATATCTGAATTTCTGCTTCAGTCTGTCCTATTTTTTTTAGAAACTATGTAATCCCACACGGTCTGGCAAAAGTCACCAGAAAAGAATAAATTAGCTGCTGATAACAATACACTGAAAAACTTTACATAGAGCAGACAAAACAACAACCGCACAGTAGCTTTCAGATATGTGAAATCTTACCTTACTGCAAGTGATTTGTGGCATGTTAAATAGCCATTTCAAATTCCTGTTCTGTTCCTCAGAAGGCCTTGTGAGAAGATGTTTCTTCAGCTCAGGGAATTTCGCTTGAGGAGAGGTTTAAAAGTAGATCTTTACAGTATTTTTTTTACAATGAAAGAACGAGCTGTTGATGGTTATCCTAGGTAAAGGTAAAGGGACCCCTGACCATTAGGTCCAGTCATGGCCGACTCTGGGGTTGCGGCACTCATCTCCCTTTATTGGCCGAGGGAGCTGGCATACAGCTTCCGGGTCATGTGGCCAGCATGACTAGGCCGCTTCTGGCGAACCAGAGCAGCGCATGGAAACGCCGTTTACCTTCCCACCGGAGTGGTACCTATTTATCTACTTGCACTTTGACGTGCTTTCGAACTGCTAGGTTGGCAGGAGCAGGGACTGAGCAACAGGAGCTCACCCCATCGCGGGGATTCGAACCGCCAACCTTCTGATCGGCAAGTCCTAGGCTCTGTGGTTTAACCCACAGTGCCACCCGCGTCCCGATGGTTATCCTAGACAATCCAAATACCAGTGAATTCTGAAATAGCAAAGGAAATGCTGTGGATGACGTAAGATGTCTTACACCATATCTTGATCATTATGTTACTGCCATACTAAGTCAAACCCTTGGTTCATCTAGTTTGGTATTGTGTGTAAGTTTGCTCAGCCTCCCCTGTGAGATGGCAGTTGCAGCACAGCACTGCCCTGCTGCCATTGCTGGGATCCTTGAGCCAGTTCTCAATGCACGGTGGGAGATGTCCCAACTTCTCCCTCTGGCCGTGGACATTTGAATTTGGCCTGCCTGCAAACTGGCCAATCGCAGGGAGGGCCTTGAGGCAGGTTTTGGATGGGTACAGCTGACTGGGACTCCTGCTGTGGAGCCTTCACTCAGGTGCATTCCATGGGCTTAAATAAGGACCACCTCCTGGACCCGGCACCACAGTCGTCTTTGGATCTCCCAGCCACCCTCCTTGGCTATATGGCTCACACCGCTCACTATTGAGGGTGTTGCCTTTGGTATGACCTTGCTATGGAACTTTCGGTCGCTGTATTTGGGGCCAGGGAGCAATTTATTCCCCATACTAACTTGAGTTGACAGGGTTCATGAGCCCATGGAAGGAGCTTGTGGTGCACAACTGACTGGTGCTATGCATGCATATACAAGTGCAAAGAGCCATGGACATTATGTGTATTGGTGTTTGGGGGGCAGAGATAACCCCTACAATGCTTTTTGTACCCATGCTTGTGTGTGTAATGAGTTTAGGGAGTCTGTGTTGAGTTCAGCTGTTCATTCGGTGATGGGTCTCTGTCTAAGATTAAAATGGAATACTGCTGAAATCTGAATTCAGATAAAACGAGCAACAGAAACTAAACCTTTTATCAAGTTTTCACCCTATTGTGACAGAAACAAAAAAAAGGAGTCACAGGGGTTGCTTTATTACTTTCCGTTCAGCCAAAGACATTCTAATGAAATTAGCTTTTGTGGAATGATGCTTTCATCAGAAAATAAATCTGAGTAATATTTTAAGTATTGCTAACTCATTTGAAGGTGATTCGGTGATAACTGTAAATTCTTTCAATTATATTAAACCTTTTGCAATTGCATTTCGTTTAATGAAATTACCCACTTGATGGCTAAAGAAGAAGAAGAAGAAGAAGATTGTTTGTAGAACCAATCTTGTGGACATCCTTAATCAAGTTGGCATGGAGGCCTTAAACATTTATTGAGATATTCCATCTTGCCACTTCCCTCTTAAATATTTGCAAACAGGCGGCAAAGTAATGAAAACTGAATGAAATGCTTTATCTTGCTTTCCACAGGGGGAACATCTATGTAAAAGTGATGCGATTGTTGCAATTACAACACTCCAGCCACGAGAATGTGGTTGTGAGAGAGGAAATTGTCTCTCCCCACAATTCAAGGTTTTGTCAAAAGTAGGGGGGATTGGACATTCTTCCAATGTGGGGACAAAACGTGCATGTCCTTGTAGATCAAAGGATGAAACCCTGAAGCATGGCACAACTAAATTAAGCTTCCTTCTCACTTCATTTGAACTCAATTGGTTACTAGTTAGTAAATTAAATTGTAAACATGAATCCTAAGCTACCAAACAGGTGATTCAGGATCCTCAGGGTGGGGCTGCATGTTGAAGTGGGTGTGGCCAAAGCATTAAAACAGGTGTGGCCAAAGTGTAAAAGCAGGCAGTAGAACCCTTCCAGATGGACTTATGGGCTGTGGACCAGTCACTTCTGATGTTGACGTGCCAGTATTTGCCTTGAAGATGTCTCTAAGCAGTGTGTTCAAAGGACCAAGAAGGGAAGATGTGGCTAGATCTTTACATCATATGGAATATGACTTAAAAGGACAACAACTGGACTAATAGGGTTGGTCCCTCCTGTTGTTGCAGATTGTTCACAGGACATTAGCGGCGATGCTGGGCTCCCTGGCTGCCTTAGCTGCCCTTGCTGTGATCGGTGATGTAAGTAGCAAAATCTCATATGTTCCTTTCACAAACTCCCAATTCCTAAATCCACTTACAACCTTGCCATGATCAGCAGCCGTCTTTGGAGGGAAGAAAACATTTCAGTGAAAGTGTCTGTAGTCATCCACACTATTTAGCGTAGGCACAAAACGGCTTGTGTTGTGTGTTTGCATGTGTGAATCAGGACAGGGACCCTGAGAGTTCTTTGCAGGTGTAAGAACTACACACACACACACACACACACACACACACACACACACTTATAGTTATATAGTTCTTAAGTGTGCCATCTATATATATATGATTGCCTCATATAGATGACACACTTAAGACAGCTTCCTAAAGTCAATCTTCATTTGATGTACTATGCATAATGATGGGACATAGGAGGAAAGCATCTGAGATGTGCTGGCCACAAGCTGTTAAGGTCTTGATAGCCATGTGACAGTGGATAACTAATTTAGATTTCTTTAAAATGGGATTAGACAAATTCATTGTCAGGAGCTGGAGTCAGGCGCAGGTCAGCAATAAAATAATAAAACATCGGATGGCAGTGAAGTTAACTCTTTATTTAAAGAAACAAAACAGCTCATCCGTAGTGGTCACAGCAACCTTTCCCAGTAGGTCTTGCCCCAATGAGGCAGCTGCAAGGACTGAAGGCCCTCACCTTCCCACTGCTCTCTAAGGCTCTTCCCCTGGTTAATTCCTCAGCAGCCTAAGGCTTCATCATCTTGTCTCATGTTGCTCCACCCTCTTCATTTCTCTCTGTGTTCTGTGAGACTGGTGGGGGCAGGGGGGCGGGGAGATGGTTGCAGCAGGACAGGGAGACCCCTAGGATTCTTCAGCAGCCTGCCTCATCTCTGTCTCCTGAACCTCCTCCTCTCCTGCCTTTGAGTCTGGACTGCCTCTGCCACAGCCTCTTCCTGCTCACTAAACCCTGTTGCCTCTTCAGTTTCTGACACCTCCTCCCCCTAGTCTGCTCCCTCTTTTCCCTCTGACCCTTCACTGCTGCCCAACCACCAATCCCCTGGCTCTGAGCCTTCTTCCCCAAGGGATCACCAGCTGGTGCCTCCCACCGTTCTTCTGCATCCACCATGGCATTCATGGTGGATGAGGCTATCAATGCTCGTAATAGCTCTATAATACTTCCAGGCAGCATGCCTCAGAATTCCTGTTACTGGGTAACAAAACTGGAAGTCCACAACCTTCTGTCGGGTCACTGTAGGAAAGAGGATGCTAAACTAGAAAAGCCTTTGGTCTGATCCAGCAGGAGTGCTCTTACGTTCTTAACAATACCCTTTTGGTTGCGATTTTCTTCTTCCTCTTCACTATCTGTTCAGTTCTTTAACTTATTATAAACATTCTTAGCACAGCACAGCGGACAAATCCTTGCCAAATCAACATTGTTTTTAAGAAAAACTGTTCAGTTTTGTCTCTTGGTTCTTAAACTTGAAAGTTGTTTCTCCCTGAACTCCTTTTTGAACTGTCCACAGAAAAAATCTGCACGATATTATCTTGTCAGCAAAACAGCAACTAAAGGAGCCCAGTATTTCAGTTTTCATTTATGTCTATAAAGGCACAGTAAGGTGTAGAAAAACAAAAATAATAAGACAATCGAAAATGCTTAATGTAGGCACCTTGTAAATGAGCCCTTCAGGTTGTCTGCATTTTACAGTGCCAACGGAGAAATTCTTGCAAAAAGACTAACTAATTTCTGTCAAAGTGCATTTTAATAGGTTTTTTTTTTAAGAGTTTGCGTTTGCAGAGCTAATCGCTAGGTAGGAGATCTATGGGATTAAATGATAATTGCACTCTCTAATTGCAGAAGCCGAGCCTGGTCAAAGTAGTGGCATGGATTGATTATGAAACTCTGGCGCTTTTGTTCGGAATGGTAATTAAAAACTTCTATATATACACCTTATGCCTTAAGTGTTCTGGAATTATATCAAACTTAATTGTTGCTAAACGTTAAAAAAATATGCTACATTTGAGAGCAGCTACAGTCATATTAGTTCCCTTTGAAGCTTTTCCAGTGTAGGAATTTGGAAATTTAATGCCTCTTAATGTGACTGGAAGCTTCTGGGCAAATTTAGGGTTGGCAGATTTTGAAATCATTTTGGTATCCTCCATTGGCTTTTGTGGTAGGAGAAATAATTTCATAATGCAGGGGAGCATGCATTCCAACAGATATGATGTCAAATTTTTGCTTTGTTAATACTGACCAGGGCTTTTTTCCAGCCAGAACTCACTGAAACTGAGTTCTGGCATCTCTTTGGTGTGTGTTCCAGCACCTCTGTAGCGTGGCAGCATGTTGGCACAGCAGCACATCGCTGGGGGCTGTGCAACAGAAGCTGCGGGTGGCATGGTACTCTGTGTTGCATGACAGAGGCTGTGGGTGGTATTGCAGAAGGCAGCATAAGGCTCCCCCCTTTAAAAAAAAGCTCAACAAGTTCTAGCACCTCTTTTTCTAGGAAAAAAAGCTCTGGTACTGACTATCAAGTGACAAGCAATAAATAGATCCTTAAAAAACTGGGAAGCAGTTTGCACTGAATCTCTGATCATTTTTGATCTAGTAAAGATTAAGTTTTGGGGCCCCTCCAGATGTTTTTTTTTTTTAAAAAAATTGTGCATCCATGATTACTTGTGCACTTGCAAAATATTTGGACTGGATATACTGCTTCATTTCTGACGAGTGCATGTCCTGTAATTTCCTGGTTACATTCTGTAGCTTTTTATACCACAAACACCATGGTTTATTTTTATTTTTGTTGCACGGTAGTTCCAGAGTTCAAGTAATGCAGTGACACTGGGGAAGCATATCAGAACAACTACTAAAATGGAAAAATGTGTGTATGGTCCAGTATAAATTGACCTGCGCTGTTATTGCATCTGTGGCACGCTGCAGGACACACCCATAAAAAGGCCTCAGTGTGGAGGGTGCCCTGGTGAATCCCTCTATTCCAAATGAAAACCTGTGCATTCCCTTTTAAGTTTAGTAAGGGAAAATATGTGTGCAAATTTGAACAGAAGGATTCTCCAAAAAATGGGTGCATTAAAGCATTCTTTATTGATAAAAATTAACTGTATAAACAGTAAAATATTTTCTTTTTCTTTAACCTCCATAGATGCTTTTAGTTGCCATCTTTTCTGAAACTGGGTTTTTTGATTATTGCGCAGTAAAGGTAGGTCTGTTCCTCCCTTCTTTTTAGTGGAAAGCATTTATATACTATTCAGCACTAGAATTTAATAATACTTTGCCATCTGTGCTATACAGAACAAAAAAAAAAAAGCATGCTTGAGTCCATTTGACTGTCTCCCTTCCCCTCTCAGGTCAATTACTTATTTCTAGCCTATTCGTGCTTTGATCATTACTGGCAGACCTTGCAAAAAAAAGTAGCAACATTCATCCTGTAATTTTCTAAAGGTTTTAGCAGATGGATGACGCTTTTGGCAAAATTATCTTAGAAGTGATGGGTAAGGGCTGTAGGCACAGTGCTCAACTCTCTTAAACCCTGTTTAAATTAATGGTACTTAAATGCCATTAGTATCAATAAGGCAAAGAGGACCACTTCTCAATTAAGTAGTGGCAAATGGCGAATGCCTGCCTCAGCATGTACCATCAGTTTCAGTGAACGTGCATTGCTATAATATAAAATGGACTCCATGGGAGGAAGAGCGGAATATGCATTTGATTTTTAAGAAATGACAATCAAATACACCTTTGCAGCATTTTACATGTACTCATAAATTTTAATGTTAGGCACGATTCGCTTTGGCTTCATTGTATCTTAGGGAATGTATGATAACACTGGCTTTTGTCTTCTGAAATACTTAGATTCGTAAGGTCCCCCCTTTTCCCGTTTTGAAAAACTGGCAAAAATCACTTTACCCAGTTACCACAGCTTAATAAACACTGTACCTCTTGGTATGAGGTGATGCTGAACGACAGCTCCACATCTAGTTGCTTAGCAAGAACTGTGATGTTGTCCATCGTGCTAATCAATTCCATCATATTTCCTCTGTGTCTGTTTTTATTAGGCTTACAGACTCTCTCGAGGCAAAGTGTGGGCTATGATTATCATTCTCTGCCTTATTGCTGCGATTCTCTCAGCCTTCTTGGACAACGTTACTACAATGCTCCTCTTTACCCCAGTCACCATAAGGTAGTTCTTCAAAAAACAAGCAAGCAAGCAAGCAAATAAACAAAACCTCATAAAGGTGGAATGGGCAGGGGATTCAAACCATTTTGAGTGTCCTAATATGCCGTCTGAACACAGGCAGGTGGGAGGTCACCCTGACCATGTGTTCACTCAGGTCACCTCAAACAAGTCCCCCTCCCGCATATGGTCAGCTCCAATGTGGGCTGTTTTCCTACAGTCCCAAGAGGCTGGGATTGTGTTTGTCTTTACTGGAGGAAGGAAGGAGGAAGATAGACCTAACAGACAGCCTGTGGGTCACCAGGATTTTTGCAACGAAGCAATGGTTGGGAGAAAACAGACCCAGGGAGGGATTTACCTGGAGACCTTCCAGAGAGAGATGAGTCATCATGTGACTCAGAGCATGGTGTGGGCAGCTACTTTTATTGACTCATGTGCTTGCCCCATTCATGCATAAAGGTGGAGGTGGAGGCTTGACCTTAGACTACCAGGCATTTGTATGTGTGATGGCAGCTGAACCCAACCTTATCTCTCCATGCTTTATTCTTTCAGACAGTTCTGCTCTATTCTTGCTTCAGTTCTGAAGTGCAGCCCACTTCAAAACTGAAGCAAAATGCCTGCAATGATGAGTTTTCAGTTGTCCTCACCACTGCGTAATAAAAACTTGACTTCCATCCCTAGCTTTATTTGAGGACTGTTCCCATCACATATAGATGCACACCCTCAATATACTGACACTCCTTTCTCCTGCCTGCTGGCTTGTGAGTTTTCAGCTGGAAATTAGTCTTGAAGCCCAAACAAAAGTACCGTAATTGTACTTTCCCCTCTCTCTGATAGTTTATTAGGCAGAGCTCCACCTTTCAGCCCATAATGGTAGAATTGTCCCTGAGTAAAATAAATATTGCCAAGGTATTGGTTGTTTCAGATATGCTGCAAAATGTGGAAGTTGACTTAACTGGTAATAATTTATGCGCGCATATATTTTTCATATGCAGATGTCACGGTGACATGACTTTTTAATTTCCTTATCTGGAACCTCTCTCTCTCTCTCTCTCTCTCTCTCATTCTCTCTCTCTCTCTCTCTCTCTCTCTCTCTCTCTCTCACACACACACACACACACACACACACACACTGTTTTTAAACAAGCTCTGTTTCCTCCTCTCCCCTCTCTCACTGCTGTGTTAGTCATTCACTTTATTTTGTTGCTGTCTTCCTCAGACTTCTTCAGTCCAATTTTAAAATGGTATTCTAAGCTGCTATTACCATGGTGATGCAGCTTAGTAGAAAATTCTCCTGATTCCTTGACAATAAGGCTTTAGCCCTTTACCAGCGGTGCATGAAATATGATCTTATTTTCTTGTCACATTTTGTGGCAAACTCAGTACTTTGCAGGAGTTACCAAGATGAATCCCAATCCTATATACTAGGGGTGGACAACCTCAGGCCCAGGAGCCAGATGTGGCCCTTTAGGCATTTCTGTCTGGCCCCTGGGTTTGTCCCCAGCCAGTGTCCCTTTCCTGGGCCACACCAGTCACCATTCCTGCTCTACACCCTTCTCAAGTGCTTTTATGCACTTGGCAGGGCTAAGTGTCCTTAAACTATGTGACTGCGTCCTGTTTGCCTGCATGGATGTGTAGAGTAGAAACCTTTAGCTTTTTCTGTGGCTGGAATGTAGCTCCCATCAGTTGCTCTGTTATGTACTGAAGTTCTCACCCTGGGCCAGCAGGGGGATACTGTAGATAGTTTTCACTCAGGTCCGCATATGCAAATAAGAAATTGAAAGTGACGTTCAGTGATTGGATAGTTACAGAAAGTTGTTACTGTTGCTTTGAGCTCTATATAAGCAGATTGGCTGAACCCTTCAGCCCAGTTCTTTTCTGGCCTGTGAATAAACAAGAGCTGTCTGAAGAATCGCTGTGTCGTCTGATATGTTCACCCACAACTTAACACGCTCTGTTTACTTTTGCATTTGACCCCATCACATTTGCCTCTGGCCTCGCCTACCACTGGCTTGTGGCCTCTCTGCTGAAAAAGGGTCCTCACCCCTGTTATATACCAACCCATTCTCTAAGGGGGGGGGGTTTCCTCCATATAGCTAGAACAGCACCATCCATGCACAAGGCAAGCTGGTTTGCAGAAATACAAACAAACACCAAACCAGTCCAGTTAGGCCTGAGCATGGAATACTGACTTAGAATCATAGAATCATAGAATCATAGAGTTGGAAGAGACCACAAGGGCCATCGAGTCCAACCCCCTGCCAAGCAGGAAACACCATCAGAGCACTCCTGACATATGGTTGTCAAGCCTCTGCTTAAAGACCTCCAAAGAAGGAGACTCCACCACACTCCTTGGCAGCAAATTCCACTGTCGAACAGCTCTTACTGTCAGGAAGTTCTTCCTAATGTTTAGGTGGAATCTTCTTTCTTGTAGTTTGAATCCATTGCTCCGTGTACGCTTGTCTGGAGCAGCAGAAAACAACCTTTCTCCCTCCTCTATGTGACATCCTTTTATATATTTGAACATGGCTATCATATCACCCCTTAACCTCCTCTTCTCCAGGCTAAACATGCCCAGCTCCCTTAGCCGTTCCTCATAAGACATCGTTTCCAGGCCTTTGACCATTTTGGTTGCCCTCCTCTGGACACGTTCCAGTTTGTCAGTGTCCTTCTTGAATTGTGGTGCCCAGAACTGGACACAGTACTCCAGGTGAGGTCTGACCAGAGCAGAATACAGTGGCACTATTACTTCCCTTGATCTAGATGCTATGCTCCTATTGATGCAGCCCAGAATTGCATTGGCTTTTTTAGCTGCCGCGTCACACTGTTGGCTCATGTCAAGTTTGTGGTCAACCAAGACTCCTAGATCCTTTTCACATGTACTGCTCTCTAGCCAGGTGTCCCCCATCTTGTATTTGTGCCTCTCATTTTTTTTGCCCAAGTGCAATACTTTACATTTCTCCCTGTTAAAATTCATCTTGTTTGCTTTTGCCCAGTTCTCTAATCTGTCAAGGTCGTTTTGAAGTGTGATCCTGTCCTCTGGGGTGTTAGCCACCCCTCCCAGTTTGGTGTCATCTGCAAATTTGATCAGGATGCCCTTGAGTCCATCATCCAAGTCATTGATGAAGATGTTGAATAAGACCGGGCCCAAGACAGAACCCTGTGGCACCCCACTAGTCACTCTTCTCCAGGATGAAGAGGAACCATTGATGAGCACCCTTTGGGTTCGGTCAGTCAGCCAGTTACAAATCCACTGAGTGGTAGCATAGTCAAGACCGCATTTTACCAGCTTCTTTACAAGAATATCATGGGGCACCTTGTCAAATGCCTTGCTGAAATCAAGGTAGGCTATGACTGACTCAACTTGACTGTTGAGAGGAAAACATGGGGCAGGTTTGGGAGGAAATGGAATGGACTGCCTCGGAAAAGTCATGGCTGGCTGGAACCTTGGAACAGGAGCGCTCCACTTCGCAACATTTTGTTGCAGGGCCCTCTTGTGAATACTAGTCGTCTTGCTTTTGTCAATAGGAAAAGGGATTTAAGGAGAGGAAGTGGAGGAGCAACCCAAGCAAACTGCAAGCAGATCTGCATCTATTATAATTTCCGCTAGATTCCACCGTTTGAACTGTTTGTCTGTGCTTTGCAAATCAGGTCTGTACAAGAAAGCTGCAATCTAATATTCAGCAAAGTGAGAGGCTATTATGTGAATGCTCTTCTTATGATAAGAGCGAAAAATGATTTGCTCATTGGGGTGTGGGACACGATATTTATTTTTATCTATCACAAATACTAATGGGCTCTCTTTCTGGCGCATAGTTCGAGCTAGCTTTGGAAACATAAACCAGCGATTTTAGAAATCATATGAAAAGGATCAGATTGTATTTTTCATCTGTGTCTTTGCAGGTTATGTGAGGTGCTTAACCTAGATCCCAGGCATGTCCTGATTGCCGAAGTAATCTTCACAAACATTGGAGGGGCCTCTACAGCTATTGGGGACCCACCCAATGTGATTATTGTTTCAAAGCAGGAACTCAGGAACGAGGTATGTATTGCTGCCTATTGTGCAAATGGAAAATAAATACAGATGCTCTATTCAGCAGTGCTTATCTGTTCTTCCCACTGTGCTGAAAGATAAAAGACTGCACCTGTTCTGGCACAGAACCAGTTGTTATCTCCCCCCCCCCCAGACTGATGCTGTAAGGGATAATGCAAACCTGAGGAAAGAAAGAAAAACACCCCACACTAATACATAATACATATGCATCTCATCTTTGATTAATATAAATTCTACTTTAGTATAAAGGCTGCAGTTCCATATACACACTTACCTGGAAGTAAGTTCTATTGAATTCACTGGAACTTACTTCTGAGTAGATACACATAGGCTTGCACTGTAAGTGATGGAAATTATGGGATTTGCAGCTGGGTAATTGGTTTGTTTGTCTGTGATTTTGCCATCCATTTAATCAGGCTTTTTAGTTGTGTTGACCATTGCCTTGTTTTCTCCCTTCTCCTTAATCTGGGCACACACACACACACACACACACACACACACACAGAGAGAGAGAGAGAGCATACAAATCCAAAACAACAAACAATTCCCCCCTTTCCCTTTGGAGAATTGAACAACAAATGACATTATGGATGCAGTATTGATATGGGAACAGTTAAATATATATATATTTTCCTCAAACATTTTATACTTAATGTACAGAATACACTTTTCCCTTAAACATCAGATACTTTGTATGCATTCCATATGCATCTTCTGGTTTTTATAAACATAACAGTAGCTTTAATATATCACCAGTATAATAACTTCTGGTTTGTTGCATTTGCATAGAGATGCACTTTTATTGCCATGTCATGAACACGGATGGAGGGATTTGTTGCTGTCCTGGGATTTTCCCTTCTCTTTCGTTCCCACAGTTGAGCTTTGTATGACTTGTGAAATATTAAGACTCGTCTCATTTGCTTGAGGCTATCCCCTTCTTTAAACCTTTAAAACATGACTTTTGAAGACCAGTGACTCCCCCAAATATCTCAACTTGATGTCATTTATACTTGAAAAAGGTCTATCATGGTCGTGGACACTTTTATTGGCTACTGAAGCATCTTCCAGTGTTATCCTCAGCTTGCACTGACACTGTGTGAACAACATGGTGGATAATGGCTGCTTACCCGGTCACAGGGTGGGCAGCAGATGTGGTCCATCATATCAAACTCCTTCCTCTTAGGAGCAATGCCAGGGCTAGGCAGTCAGCGGTTAGGGAATTCCCAGGCTGGCCACTGGAGATTGGCAGGCTTTCCCGCCATCTGTTATTTGAATCCTGGCCAATCCGGCTGGACTATGTGGGTGGGGCTTGGGACCCGATAAAGGCTGGCTGCACTGACCCCAGTGACACAGTGCATTAATTTAATACAACCCCAACTGGTTTTGAGGGGAGTCACTTCTCTATGTATATGTGGCACATGAATATATATACAGTGGTACCTTGGGTTAAGTACTTAATTCGTTTCGGAGGTCCGTTCTTAACCTGAAACTGTTCTTAACCTGAAGCAGCACTTTAGCTAATGGGGCCTCCCGCTGCCGCCATGCCGTCGAAGCAGAATTTCTGTTCTCATCCTGAAGCAAAGTTCTTAACCTGAAGCACTATTTCTGGGTTAACAGAGTCTGTAACCTGAAGCGTATGTAACCTGAGGTACCACTGTATATACTTCTCCTGGAGATCCTGATTGCTCCAAGGTGATACTTTCCAGAAATACATTGGGTTCTCACTCTGTGTGTGTTTTTTAAAATGTTTTCCTCAGACAGATGAAATACAGTCCTCAAGTCTAGATTTTTAAACATTGGGAATGGAAATCTGAAAAGCAGCTTATTGCCTCAAACAGAAATAAAATAATACAAAAGCTGTATTTTATGTTAGGCATCGGTTTACTGTGCTTGATAGATCTCTTTCTCTCCTTTATAGACTTCATCTCTTGCTCGGCTCAAAGACTGTTTGAATGCATTTAGACTTGCCACAATTTGTTCATTAAAAACACAGAGATAAGGATGTACTTTGTAGAAAAATGCAAGTGAACTAAAACGGGAAATATTTCCCAGCAGTGATTAATAGCCCTTCACTCCCACTCCGCAAAGGAATAAAAATTATTGGTACCCTATTTACATAAAAGAAGGGGTATATTTCTTGTTCTCTTTGTTTCTTCATTGCTTAGATGGGGAATATGCATTAACAATAAGTCTATCAGCTTGATCTTCTAGAGTCAGCAATGGCGGCTTACCCAGTCACGGAGGTGGGCAACTATTGCGGCCCGTCGTGGGTCCCTCAACCCCCTATGGGAGCAATGTCAGGGGGCTAGGCAGCCAGTCATGGGTAATTCCCTGGCCGGCCACTGTGGATTGTTGGCCTGGCCCGCCACAGGCATATTTTGAATCCTGGCCAATCCGGCCGGGCCATGTTTTAAGACTCTGGAAGCAGGGACTGCTAGAACACAATTGCCCTGGCATTCCAAGCCAATCAAGGATGACATACTATGACAATATTTTACTTAGTTACAGAGCCATTTAAAATACAAGCTATACAGATTCCTGGGAGAATAAAATGTTTTAACCTGACCATGCCCAAACTGCAATCCAGTGTGCACCAGCCCAGCCAACATTAACTAGATGGGGGTGTAAGATCTGTCTTCAGTGTTGTTGTGTGGCACCCAATTGGGCAGATGCCAGGACCTCTGCTGTAAAAGTTTTCAGGTTATGAAAAGGATTATCACATCCTTTTGTTTCTCACCATCATTTAGCATTAAGAGCTGTAAGAGACCCTGTGTAGGTAAAAAAATAAAAAATAAAAATTAAATGGTGACATCGAGTACCTGGTAGTAGTCCTCTGTTTATGGCTCTGGGCTGCATATGTCTTGGAAAACCACAAGTCTATTATTTATTTATTTCAACATCTTCTCAAAGGCGCTCAAGGTGATGTACTACATTTTTCAACGTAGTATTGGAACGCTGCACAGTTTATTTCTGTAACACTTTAAAACATTTCCCCAGGAATCTTAGGTAAAAAGTTGCCTGGTTTAATTATTTTTTAAAAACACACACAACCAAATGTTTTTTTTATGTTTGTGGTGCAGGATTGACTACCTTTGTACCCATAAATTTTCAACATTTGTGACTTTGAGGCTTCAGAGATTATAACTATTTGCTATCTTAGCTTTACACCGCCTGAGAGGTCATAAACTAGCAGACCATAAAGTAAAAATGTCGCCTAAAGTTTCAGAGCACCCCCCCGATAATTCCATAAAGTTTTCTGAAACCTTTTAAAGCTTAAGCTCTGTTATTTCTTTTTTAAAATGTTCTTGTCTTGAGTAGTCTTGTCTTGCTTGTCATGATTTCCATTTTCGCAAAAAGCAACGACTATGATTTTTAGCTCATTTCAATACGTTTCCTTTTCAAATTAAGCATATTTCTGGAACATTTCCAGTTCTGTTCCACATGGAAGCAAGAACGTTTTCCTAATATTAGCAGCCACCTCTATGTAGCCGAAGGACTGTCACACACAAGATGGGATTATCTTACTTATCTTATGTATGTAGTATATGGCTCTTGAAGTAATTGTGGGAAGAGTATGTTACGAAATCTTGGCAGATGCTCCTTTCTTAGGTGATGTAAAGGGAAGCACTGACTTCAGAGAATGCTGGATGCTTGAAATGGTGTAACACATCTTAATCAGCAAGAGATTCACGTGCCAGCAAGAGTTCAAAAGTTTAATTTAGTGTTACATGAATGAGACTTTGCTGGGTGAGTCTTCCCTTCCGCTGGTGCAGCCTCAAGATGATCAGAAGCTTCTGCTGCTAGGGATGGAGAAGAAATTCAGTTCAGCATGCATTTAAAGATGAATGCAACAAATTCACACTTTCTGAAAGCTGATCGAAAACACAAAAAGGAGGGAAATGAATTAATTATAAATTATATATTTATTTGAAGTTAGTCATTTTATATCAAAAATAAGTGTTACAATTGGAACATCCGCCTTTGACTCGTAGGCGTGGGCCGGAAACCACCTGTCAGGAAACTGACATCGGAGCAGAGTGGAGAGGCTAGGCTCCCCAATGATGCCGGAGAGGGAACCAGTACAGGGGTAGAGAGGACTTCCGCTGGGGAAGAAAGGCAAGGTGACTCAAGGAAGAAGGAAGGGATTGAGAGCCTTTCGGAGGGGAGGCTCCGAGACTCTTCTAGTGAGGTCAGTGAGGAGAGTGGAGGACCACCGATAGGCACGCCCACTCTGCGCAGAAGGCTGCCGCGCAGAGAGGCGAGAAGGAGGCTGTCCGTTAAGGAATTTTTATGCTGGAGGAAGTTTAGGAAACACCCACTGACGGATTCTGCCAGCGACTGAAGCAGTCGTGCCCAAGGGGGGCTGCTCAGCCGGGGGGGGGGGGGAAGCAACCGCATCAAGCAGTTTGGAGCAGGCGGAGGTTACACACAAGCAACCCCAATTCCCATGATACCACCTGTCAAAAAAATATTTAGCTGAGATTCCTGCATTGCAGGGGGTTAGACTAGATGACCCTTGGGGTCCTTTACAACTCTACAATTCTATGATTCTGTGATTAATCATTACTACCTTCACCACCCTCGCCATGCAATGAAGAGCTATTTAGGTCGGAAGACAGGATAAGAAACATAATAATAAATGTTAATTGCTACCACCATCACCTCAATAAAACAGAGTTCACTGGAATACCATGTTTGATTATTGCAATAAAATAAAATAAAATAAAATAAATTCCAGCATCCTTTCTGGTCACATCCACACCATACATATAAAGCATGTTTAATGTACATGGCTTTCCCCCAAAGAATGCTGGGAGCTGTAGTTTGTTAAGGCTCCTAGGAATTGTAGCTCTGTGAGGGTTAGACTACAGTTCCCAAGATTCTTTGGAGGATGCCATGAATGTTTTAAATGGTATAAATGTACTTCAGATGCATGGGGTTTATGTCGGTGGAAATTTGCTGAGCATACACCTAAGTTCTCAACTGAAATCAAGGTGCTAAACATAGTGCTATATTTTGGCTGGATTGTATTGCCAAGTACAGAAGGAGACCTGCACTGCTCTGCTAAGAAGACACTACAATAATATTCAGTGCCGTTTTATGTATGGTACTGAGAGTTGCTGTAATTGATTCTACTTCAATTATATATTTTTTATTCCCAGGGAGTGGACTTTGCAGGATTTACAGGGCACATGTTTGTTGGGATTTGCCTCGTGCTTCTTGTCTCCATTCCTTTCCTAAGACTTCTCTACTGGAACAAAAAGCTATACAACAAAGAGCCAAGTGAAATTGTTGGTGAGTTTGAGCTTCAGATTATATATTGGGGAAGGGGAATAGATGCAATAGCCAAACAAACTCATAACACCCTTGTGTTTTTAATCATATGAAAATGGCTTAGTCTAGCTGCCAAGTCCCTTTCCCTTTTGTTATACTAATGGACCATTGCTTGTTTTCTTTAGCCCTCAAGCCATTATTTCCCCTTCTTACATCAGAGATTTGCTGTGGAGAGCACATGGTGCAAAGTGTATCAGATATAATGAATCAGGGTCTTGGGAACTGGACCTGTACCAGTCTATTTGGTTAAATTTATATGATGCTTAATAGAGTTCTAAGCAGTTTATAAAATACAAAGCTAGTTATACGAACATTAAAATACGAACATTCAGAATTAATCCCACGTAGAATTCTTTCTGTCATAGGCTGTGGGTCTTTTCAACAACAACCAGATTTAAGAAGACTTCATAAAAGGCCAGTAAGCCTTTTTAATATAAGGCTGAGAATCTCTAGCTGAGATTCTTTCATTGCAGGGAGTTGAGACTAGATGACTTTCGGGGTCCTTTCCAACTCAACAGAGTGGCTGGCTAATAATAATAATAATAATAATAATAATAATAATAATAATTCCAACTCTAGGTTGTAGAAAACATCTTTTCCAATCAGTACCTTCAGATCTTTTCTAACTTAAAATTCTGGTTATTTCACTGCAAGTTTTAAAAAATGCATTTAATAGTAAATACCATTTTCCCCCGTGTATAAGACTAGGGGTTTCCCCTAAAAAGAATGTCAAAAATTAGGGGGCATCTTATACATGGGGCCATCTCCCCTCATTTTCTTAAATCTGAGTCCCCCAAAATAGGGGGCGTCTTATACACGGGGGTATCTTATAGATGGAAAAATACGGCAAACTTTAAAAGCTGGCAAATCCCTAGAGCCCAGTTCACACGATTATAGATCTTTAAATACTGTACTGTGTAAAGGTAAAGGTACCCCTGCCCGTACGGGCCAGTCTTGCCAGACTCTAGGGTTGTGCGCCCATCTCACTCAAGAGGCCGGGGGCCAGCGCTGTCCGGAGACACTTCCGGGTCACGTGGCCAGCGTGACATCGCTGCTCTGGCGAGCCAGAGCCGCACACAGAAACGCCGTTTACCTTCCCGCTAGAAAGCGGTCCCTATTTATCTACTTGCACCCGGGGGTGCTTTCGAACTGCTAGGTTGGCAGGCGCTGGGACCGAGCAGCGGGAGCGCACCCCTCCGCGGGGATTCGAACCGCCGACCTTTCGATCGGCAAGCCCTAGGCGCTGAGGCTTTTACCCACAGCGCCACCCGCGTCCCACTGTACTGTACATTGAGTGAAACAAGGGGCTAATGATGCCCCTCCCCCACATATGAGGATGCAATATGTGATGTAGTTATATGTGCATACATCCGGCAAAAAAATAATAGATTTCCGTGGTCCTCGTAAACCTTTCATAAGGATTGTGGGGATTAGTTGTACATACCCATTGATAGGTATATAATATGCACAGGATTTTAGTGCCTTAACGCGATTGGGGGCCACTCTTATTTAAGGTTTTCTTCTTAGAGGTTTTTCACTGCTTTAAGGTTTGTTTGTTTGTTTGTTTACAATTTTATGAAATAAACAATTTTTTTTCAATAAATGGTATTGTAAAATGACTGGTAAAGGTAAAGGGACCCCTGACCGTTAGGTCCAGTTGCGGACGACTCTGGGGTTGTGGCGCTTATCTTGCTTTACTGGCCTCGGGAGCCGGCGTACAGCTTCTGGGTCATGTGGCCAGCATGACTAAACCACTTCTGGCGAACCAGAGCAGCACACGGAAACGCTGTTTACCTTCCCGCCGGAGCGGTACCTATTTATCTACTTGCACTTTGACGTGCTTTCAAACTGCTAGGTTGGCAGAAGCAGGGACCGAGTAACGGGAGCTCACCCCGTCGCAGGGATTCGTATTGCCAACCTTCTGATCGGCAAGTCCTAGGCTCTGTGGTTTAACCCACAGCGCCACCCGCGTCCCTAAAATGACTGGTAAGGATGAGCAAATCTGCCAATTTTGGTTTCTCTCAGTTTCTTGTTTTTTCCCAACATTAAATTTAGTCCTCCACATTTCCACATCAGTATGCATTTTTAACAGAAAAAATCCTCATGAAAACTCCTCAACATTTTAGTGCAAATTTCTCTGAATATACACATTTTTGTATGTGATATATTACAATATGCACATTTTTGCAAAGCAAATTTCCCTAATAGGGTGCATATTTGCATGTTAGATTTATTAATATATGCATACTTTGGTATACACATTTTTGTACACTTGACTTGCAATTTGGCATTAACAGTGTGAATTTCAAAAGATGCCTGTGTTATTGTTTGTTTATTGTTTCAGAAAGCGCAAATTTGACAGGCTTGCCTTTCAATGCAAACTGAATTTAATTCCGTCTCCAGTGGCTAGCATAGATTTTGACACACATGCAGCCTTCATATCTGATTTTCCATATGCAAATTTTGCACTGGGGATCTGTACCCGAGTACAAGGCATTGTAAGAAACGACATTCATTTAATTGGTAATGAGACACAAGGCTAAAATCCCAAGGCATTTACTTGGAAGCAAGTCCCCCTGGAAACAAAGGGAGGGTTGAACTCTTCCTCAAGCTTGGGTTATTTATTGAAAAACAGAAAAGAAATGGAAGGACATGCTGTTTAAAAATAGCATAATCATCCATACAAAAATGGTATATTTAACTAGCCAAAATTCTGCTGCCCTTGAAGAAACAAGCATATTCAGGCTCAAATTAGACTTGTCATCTGTGGTACTCTGCTGCCTACTATAGTCAGATTCAGCAGTTCTCGTAATTAGCAAGCGATCTTCTTTTCCCCCTATAATCAGCAACAAGCTACATCATGATGGAGCCAATCAGTACCTGCTCAATAAAAGCAAATACTAAAGTACTAGTTCTATTAACATTTTCTGTAAAATGGGATGGGAGAGGTGATCAAAGAACATTTCATTAAAAGGGAGCTGGGGCAATTTGGCTTCAGAGAAGTAACAGAATGTCTGCAAGATGTTTTAATGGGTCTTTTCGATCTCTAATTGCTGTGGTTTTGCGATAACCTTCAATAGATTGTTTGAAGCAGCTGTTTCAATCAGCTTGGTGTCTGCTATGTTGCCCTCTGATTACCAATCAAACAAGCACTGAATGTATATATAAAGAACCAGTTTACTGTTCTCTGCTGCTTTGATTTCCTTCCTTGTCATATCCTTTTGAGTACTGTGTGTTGCTATTCAGCTGCTTAAATTAGAAAGGATTCACAAGACTGATCTTTCCCGCTGTAATGAGACTACTTGCACTCTGTAGGGATGTTCATATGTATTGCAGACTTTTCTTTTTTAATTAACTGTTTATTGAAGGCTTTTCAAGTTTTGACAGAGTATAGAATCATAGAATCGTGGAGTTGGAAGGGACACCAAGGGTCTTTTGTACACTTGACTTGCAATTTGGCATTAACAGTGTGAATTTCAAAAGATGCCTGTGTTATTGTTTGTGTATTGTTTCAGAAAGTGAAAATTTGAAAGGCTTGCCTTTCAGTACAAACTGTGTTAGTGTGGTGTAGTGGTAGACTCATAATCTGGTGAACTGGGTTCGCGTCTCCGCTCCTCCACATGCAGCTGCTGGGTGACCTTGGGCTAGTCACACTTCTCTGAAGTCTCTCAGCCCCACTCACCTCACAGAGTGTTTGTTGTGGGGGAGGAAGGGAAAGGAGAATGTGAGCCGCTTTGAGACTCCTTAGGGTAGTGATAAAGCGGGATATCAAATCCAAATCCAAATTCTTCTTCTAGTACAACCCCCTGCAATGCAGGAAGCTTAACTAACGCATCAGATTGCCACCGAACCTCTGCTTAAAAACCTCCAAGGAAGGAGAGTCCACAACTTCCCAAGGGAGACCGTTCCACCGTCAAACAGCTCTTACTGTCAGAAAGTTCTTCCTGATGTTTAGTTGGAATCTCCTTTCTTGTAATTTGAAGCCATTGGTTCGAGTCCTGCCCTCCAGAGCAGGAGAAAACAAGCTTCCATGTGACAACCCTTGAGATATCTGAAGATAGCTATCAATATCTCCTCTCAGTCTCCTCTTTTCCAGGCTAAGCATATCCAGCTCCTTCAGCCGTTTTTCATAAGGCTTGGTTTCTAGACCCTTGATCATCTTGGTTACCCTCCTCTGCACACGTTCCAGCTTGTCAACATCCTTCTTAAATTGCGGTGCCCAGAATTGGACACAGTATTCCAAGTGTGGTCTAACCAAGGCAGAATAGAATGGTACAATTGCTTCCCTTGATCTGGGCCCAAGGCTTCTGTTGATGCAGCCTAGAATAGCATTAGCTTTTTGTTTGTTTGCTGCTGCTTCTGCATCACATTGTTGACTCGTGTTAAGCTTGTGGCCCCTAAGACCCCCCAGTACTCCATGCTTGCCCCACCTTTGCAGCAAATTGGCTGCATTTCCACAGCTGCCTTCCCCCTCTTGTCCTAATCCAACAATTTTATTTATAGCGTTTTGTACCTGGTAGGCCACCTGCATGCAGATGGTCACTGGTTCAGTTCCTGGCACCTTCAGATAGGGCTGGAGACCCACCACCAGTCAATATAGATCAGGGTGGGGAACATCCTTTGGCCAGTGGGCCAGATCCTTACCCCTGCTACCCCTTGTGCATCGAGAGGCCCACCTGTCAACCATCTGATGTAACAATGACACAAGGACTTCAAAGCACCACCCAAGACATGCCAAGAGCTCTGAGCATTGCTTTGAAGCGTCGCTGATCAGCAGGGTTGAAATCACTGCCTGTCAGATGACTGGTGGTGAATTCAAGCCTGCTTTGTTCAGTAGATCTGATGCATAAATCAAGTTCCCCATGGGGAATGACGATGCAATTTAGAATCGAATGAAACCAATACTTAACACAGCACCAAAAATACAGTTGAAAGCAGAGAGTAAGCATATATAGTACCTA